AAGAATATGCATGTCCAACACCAAGAGAGTCTGTCGGAAGAACAACTGCTACAACATTTGATGTTGGAGTCTTGAAGCTGCGTGGGTGCAACAGATTGAGTTGTTGGGACTGTTGTAATTTGTTCAACAACTTTGGACATTGAGCTTTCCAATGACCCTTTTACTTACAAAAGTTATATTCATCAAAATCAACTTTTCCATGAGATTTGTTTTTATTATGAGTAGCTGCAAAAACAGACGGATTAGGAGTGGGGTGGATCCCTTTCTCAGCATTCCTTTTCTCAGATTGAGACTTCAGACGAATCTCTTCAGTTAATAACTCATTAACCACCGAACCAACTTTTGGAAGAGGATTGCGATGTAAAGTTGTTCCACGAAACCCTTCAAAATCATTTCGAAGAGCCATAAAAAATTGAACCAAACGCTGTTCTTCTCTACGATCAGTGTATGGTTTGAAAGCTCTTAATTCTGCAAACTCAATAAGAGATAATTGATCTCAAAGATTAGTCATGGCAGAATAAAATTCTTGAATGCTTGTGTTGTTTTGTTGAAGAGCACGAATGTCTATCTCTAATTGATACTGTTTTGCAAAATTTGACTGCACATATAATCTTTCCAAATGATTCCAAACTTCTTTGGCGGTTTCATATTTTGCTAATTGAACACCGATTGATTGTGAAACCGAGTTATTGATCCAAGTGATTATTTTTGAATTATTTGCCTCCCATGCCTCCAACATTTCTTCATATTTTTCATATTTTTCATTTATAGGCTTCACAGATGTTCCAGAAACATAACTCCACATTTTTTTTCCTTTCAAAAAATTCTTCAAAACATAACTCCAATAGGAGTAATTTTGTCCATTTAATTGGACACTAATAGACTGAAGGGAATCGTCCTTTTCACCCGTCATTGCAATGATACAAAGAAAAATAAACAAAGAAGAGAAAGATCAATACCACTAAATATAGATCGCTCGAAGAACGGCAACTAAATGAAACTGAGAGGGAGGAGTATTTCCGCTGAACAGATTGGGAGGAGTCTCGAGCTTGATCAGAACAGCTATTGGTCTTGGTTGCGTCCAAGGAAAAGGGGTAAGCCGGCGCTCTCGCCTTGAAGGAGAGGCGATCCGACCACCTTACCTTGCAATGCTGAGAGCGAGTTCAGTGCAGAGAAGGAGAGGCGATCCGACGGAGAGCACCAACGAGGAGGAATCGCGCGGTCGGCCGGCGGATTTTGAGCGCGAGGAGACGGACCGAGGCAAGGGAGTCGCGAACAGCAATCGTTCGATCAGAATCGCGAGAACTTGCGAACGGGTGGAGTCGAGATGGCGAACGGGAGTCGCGAACAGCAATCGGTCGATCAGAATCTCTCTGATATCATGTTAGAAAACAAGAGAGACAAAAGGGTGGCTAGGGTTTTGTCAGTGATTCCCAAAATCTCATTACAAGAGTATATATATATGTACAATCAGGTACAATCAGGAAAAGACAAAACTACTAAACTACCCTTAATTGATAGAGAAATAGAAATACAAAACTATATTTAACAGTAGTATATATAGGATGCTTGAAGTCAATGTGAGACAATTTATTAGCCTCACAGCCATTAAAGTGAGACAACATAAATGTATGCATATGGTGCAAGTGCAAACATTTGAAAGCAAATATGTAAAACAGGAAATTAAGCAAAACTACAAGGAAGGCTGAACGAAATATTTTTGGTAAAAATATATATATAGCACATAATTTTTGTGTGATTACATATCTCACATCTAAATTTTTATATTTTATATTTACACATGTAGCGCTCAAATCATTAATATAACGTTCAAAGTAGCATTACTATATTTTTTAAAAGTTAAATAGATAATTTCATGCATAAGTTTAAAGCATCAAAATATCATATATGTAAATATGAAACTTTAGGTGTGAGATACGTAAATACGTAAGAATTTTGTGCTCTGTATATAAATTTACCAAAAAAAAAAAAGAAGTTATCGTTACAATGTGGGAATAGATATTCCACGCATGCTGTAAATATTTTGCCTTTAACTATTAGTTTAAAGCTACTTAATCTAAACACTATCAAAACAAATGTCAATAATGAGGGGCATATTTATACAATGGATTTACATATCTAATATCTAAACTATACTTTTTACATTTATCACACTCAAAAATTTCATATTAAGTGAAAAACCTTTTTCATGTATTGGTATGGTCATATATATGTATAAATTAGAATTTACATGTTAGATATGTAAATATATAAGAATTGACGTGGTATGTATGAGATTGTTCTTAAAAATTAAGGACTGCTAAAAAGGCCCTTTTAATCACCTTTATTTTTTAGTTTTATTTTATATTTATATTTTTATTTGAACAAAAATATATTTGACAAGTTAAAATAATACAAGATTATTTTTAAAGTACTCAAAATGTCTACATTTTATTTTGTGTGTTTCCAAGAAAATGCTCGTTTTTTTTTTTTTAAATAAAACAAATATAAAAAAGACATTAAATAAGTAAGTTTATAAAAAAAATGCAAAACAAAAAAAAAAAGAAAAAAAAACAATTCCAAACCAACTCAAATTCCTCCTTATTCCAAGAAAAGATGATCTTTCTTTAATATTTTTGTCCTTAAATTGCGGAGTCTCTACTATTTTTAATTGTGGTACTATTCTTCCCTCTCATCATCATACTAGAGCCAAATAGAGGGATCATCTTTCCCTTTTCAACATTGTGTTCAAGTCATATGATCCCCTTCTTAAAGGAGAAGGCATATATCAACACTAGTTTGTCAGCTATAGATTGTTCAATATCCTCATTTTTTGGGAGAGGGTGTGTTCCATGGCTAAATAGATTTTTAATTAGAAGGATAATTGTTTTAGCCACTATCATTGGCATATCCCATATTTTATTTCCATGTCGTCTATTTCCTCAAGTTTGTATTGCATTAACCTTCAAGTGAATTACCAAATAATCATCTTCAATAGCCTCGATAATCTTTCTGTATCAACCTTCTTATATCACCTTGTTTTTCTCTTCAGTTCATGTCTTCTTCACCTATAATGGTGGACTAACTTGACCATCATCAATGACTCTTAACATTATTTTTTTTACCCCTTATCATTTTGTCTGTGTCATTCAATTTTCATCTCTATGAAAATGATTACTAAAGATCACTTCCATCAACCTCTCTATTTATGTGTCATCATCACCTAAGATACTAACAATATATAGCTTGTATCATCTACTCCATATTGGCACATTTTCTGAAGTAGGGGAACAATGATTTTTTATTATTCATATCTGGGTATAAAAGAAGTTATTTTAATTGAGCTATGTCCTATGTTTTTTTCTTTTTTTTTTTAATTTTCCTCATAGGAAATCATGTGTTCGTTGCTTCTTTTACTTCTCAAATTATGGCGAATGTCATTTGAAGCAATTCATAAAATAAAAAAATAAAAAATAAAAAAGTTCTACCAACTCTCATATAATCACATGTCTTTCAATCTACTTTTTAAAGTCTTAAACACCTGTCAAAACTCAAAGTTTCAACCTATGTGGACCCTAGAAGAGAAATTATTCATATCAACATGTCTCATTAGCTAAAAATCGTTCATAACAGCATCAATAGAGGGGCCTAAAGGGATGACATTGTTTAAAGCAGCAGTCCTTCACCATCAACAAGGTTGAAAAAAACATCAGCCAATTAAACAGAGTAACAAAACTTATAGCATCTCGAATTAATTATACTTGATAACATATTACTTAGCAAAACATAAAATCTCAATTGTTAATATAATAAAAAACACGAAGTGAACATCTTTTTAAAAGATGAATTGAATACCTCTCAAAGAAAAATACTAAGGGATGAAATGAAGCAGCTGCATTTTGTTAACGAGTATTAGTTACATTTCTCATGGCCTTTGGCTTCTTTAGCCTTGCAATCTTCACTTTTATTTGCATACAATTTTCTGAGGTGTTGAAGCTGACCAGACTGACCAGATATAACTCTTGTCGTACTTGGAGTTTCATTCAGTACGACCTCATATCCATCTTTTAATGAGTCCATGCCTTCAACAAGGAGCTGCCAGAAGAGGCCACCCGCTGCTGCTCCTCCTCTACTAGCAGATTGGTAGACTTTAGAGTAGACTGCTTGAAAAAGATCATCTCTTTTGGGGGTGCTGAACCCAGGATCCTTCATGGATTTGCCAAACTCAGTTATAAGAAGGGGCTTATGGAGAATGTTGCTGGCATCTCTTATGTGGGCATCAAGCCAGTTATTAGAGAATTGAAGCTGAGAATAATCACTGGAGTTTGAAATCCTGACAATGCCCCAAAGATCTATTAGAAAAGAAATGAAATTGTATCATTGGATAAAAATGTTAGATTTCTAAAGAATGCCTTGCCAAACATTTTAAAGTTGGAAGTGACAAAAGAAAGATAGAGTTCTCCAGCAAATTCTTTTGGTCAGGGTGAGTGCTCAAACTCAACATTTTTAGATTTTTCATTTTATTTTCAACCATTGTGTTAAGAAACAGACACTTCTTATTAGCATCAAAATTGTGTTTTTTTTTTAATGTATGGATATAATTTTACCATTGGTCTGGATATGAATGGAGAGTGGTGAAATCAATTCCTGAAATTTGATTATTGGAGATGAAGTCAGTTCCCACTTGAAACCCAGTAAGATTTGTTGGCAACTCAGAAGGTGATGAGGACCCGTAAAATCCTTCCAAGCCAACTTCGAGCAAGTGATTGCTATCTATGGATTTCACATGAGCAGACATCTCAGTGATCCATGCCTGCAATTATAAGAAGCAAGAGTTGAATGAGCATTGAGTATAGGTCTTGAAATACAAAAAAGCTAAGTTTTTCGTGGACTGTAACCATTTTTAGGATTACAGGCAACAAAGTGCATAAAAAAATGGTTTTTACCTGTAAAGTTTTTCCAGACGTATCTGAAGGGCATCTGGCCTCATTCATAAGCTCCCAGGCAAAGATTGTGGGGTCATCCTTATAAGCAACACCCGTTAGTGTGTTTTTTCGTGTGAGAACAGTCTTCACGCACGAAAGGTTTTAGAGTGATCAGCATCAAAATGATGATTTTTAAAATTTGAAGCAGATTAAAATTTGTTTGAGATTACAAGAAAATTATTAGCTCAAAATTATTTTAATATTAAGAAGACCAACAAAAAAAAAAAGAAAGTCTCCCTCCCTCTCTCTCTCTCTCTCTCTCTCTCTCTCTCTCTCTCTCTCTTCTCTCTCTCGGACAAAAAAGGGCCACACCAGTCAATTTCATTAGATAAAAGAGACAAAAAGTTGCAATATCATTAAGGAAAGAAATGGAGTAAAAAACTACAGTTTAAACAAATATAAACATGTCATTCTTTGTGATAAAAATTAAAAAAAAAAATATGAAAGGATTGTACAGTTGAACGACTGTTGAACAATAAACGGACTACAAATTGACTCATAAGAGGCAAATGCGCGAATGTTAAATGTTACTAAAATAAGCTCAGGATCTCGGAAAAGCCAACTAGCAGTCTTATAAAACATAAAATAGGGGCATTTACATACATACCTAAACCCTAAACAAAACTAAAATTTTTCATATCACAAAAAATATCGCTGTCACTAACTTCTGAAAGTGAAATTCATCTTATCATGTGTAGATAAAGTGTTATAAATATAAATATCAAAATTTAAAGGTTAGTTGTGTAAATACATAGAGATTTGTGGCATGTATGCAAATCTTCCAAAATAAAAATAACTTAGGAATAGTTTTATAAACTTTGAATCCTAGACTAATTATACACCAAACAATTCAGTGTTTCCCGAAGTCTTATTTATTTAACAATAATACATCGAAAAAAGAATCACAGATATCATCAAGATAAATATGATATTGTATAGTTTTTTTCTATGCCGCCCAATGCTTAGTATATAAAATCTAAAAGAGGCATTTACGAACCTGCCAGCCAATGTTCGCGTATTTACAAATCTAGCACCTAAAATTCAATTTTTACTTCACCTGAGTCTTCCGTATCACATAAAAAATATTATTATTTCAACTTTTCAAAAGTCAAATACATTTTTTCATTCAAAAATAAAGTGGAATGCAAGTAAAAATTGACGTTGTTACATAGGAATTGATGAGTGGTATGTATGTAAAACTTACAATCCAAAAAACCTGTGTAATCATATTCCAAAAAATATACAAAACTTCATGAATTTAAGGGGTCTAATATCTAAATTTAGCAAAATCTCTACAATTTTTAATACTTTTTTTGTAATTTTCTTTCAAAATAACTTCAGCCCACCTAATCGGTTCCCTTTTTTCCCTCCTGGTTCCCCCACCTTAAAATTTCAAAAGCATTAGTCAAACAGGGGTAGGGCCGCACCATTTCTCACCCAACCCATCAAACATAAAAGGGAAAAATTCACAATGAAGGACTCCTCGGCAAATAGAAAAATATGGTATGAATGTTCTACAGACCTTGACGTGATTCTTGTAATAACCTTTAACAACATTATTAGTAAAGAACTCGTCATCAGATCCAATGCTCTCTCCTTGATTCCTTGCCCACTGAACATATTGTGGCTTCCCTCCAAAGTTCTCGTAGTTATTCACGAGACTAAGAATAAGCCAGATACCATATCTTCTTGCCTCGGAAATCACAAAATCCAAGCCCTAATTCAAAAGCACAGTAAGCCAGTTTAAAAGCGCATAAAACCATAGCAGAAAAAGAAGAGATGTCGGTTCTTCAGAAATCTGAACCTGGAACATTTGTTCATTGTAGGATCCGGGAGAGTATTGCAAGGCGTTGCTACCACCGTCATTGAAAGCCCAAGTTCTGGCTATAGTGAGTCCATTGATCGAAGCTTCTTTGAAGGCAGTGGAGACCTTGTCTCTCTGAGACGGATCCGATGCCACGTTCATGAGCCAATACGAATTAAACCCATTAGAGAAGAACAGGCTGCCGTTAATCGTAAAATGCAATCCATTTGTACTGATGAAACGGTCTCCTGCTTGAGCTTGCAGATTCTGACCAGAGAGAAGAATCAAGAAAATTTCAAGAAGAATAGTAACGGTCATGATTTTAGCTTTGATTCTTCCGAGAAAAGCAATGTTTGAAGACCTTTGAAGTCTTTCTTATATAGATTTTTTTCCATTTTTGTATAGCCAAAAGGTCGGGATTTATTGCGCTTGCCGCCTGCGTGTGAAAGGAGTTATATCGCAACTATCTCAATTAAATTAAAGAAATTTACATATACACCATCCCACTCTTATGTATTTACATATCTAATTCTTTTATTTTTTACTATTTATATGACTCAGATCCTTCGTATATAAAAAAGTTCAGTTTTTTAACATTGAATTACATCTTTTCATGCGCAGATAAGTGTCATATATGTAAAAATAATGTTTAGTTATTAGATATGGAAATACATAGGAATTAAGTGGTATATATGTAAATCTCTCAGAATGATAACGCGGCAGCAAACACTTTCGCACTGTAGTATTAAGATGCTTAAAGTCAACTTAAGAAATTATTAGGCTCGGAGCCCTTAAAGAGAGACAACATCATTTTATGTTTATATGTTGCGGCTCCAATAATATATGAATACAATTATGTAAAACAGGAAATTAAGAAAAGGCCATAATCAAGAGGAAAAAGAAAATTACACTTTTTTGGGCTGTACGAAAATAAAAAAAATATAGCACATAATTCATATATATTTTCATATCTATATTTTAATTTTTATATTTACACATATCACACTCAGATCTTTAAAATCACGTCGAAAATAATAATTTTACACTTTCCAAACATTATTGTATCCAAAATTTTATTGTGGATCACTTCCAATGAATAGAGTGTTGGTGGAATGAAAGAAAGAGAAATTAGACACAAATAATACTTAGTTTTTTAAATTTTTTTTGGCTGGCTAGTGTTGTAAATCAGGTGTTGAACAAGAGAGAATATGACCCAATGGTAGAAGAGACGTGGGTTGCTTCTGATGAGGCCGAGGATAAATGCATCTATAGAAGGCCGCTCGACTCTCGAAGAATGCGTCGAGGAAGAGGAAGAGAGTGAACGGCCCCCCATAATTACTCGATCGATTGAGTAATCTTTGGTTGATCAAATGGTTTTCAGTCAAATGTTGATCTTTTGTAATGATAGTTGCTGGTTGAGAGAGCGTTGCGTGAACATGTGATGTTCACTACATGTGATGTTCACTGGATCGGTCGGTATTTTATTCGGCCGGCTTTATGGGCCAACTTGCATCACATGATGAATATTAGAACATGAATCATCTTTATGTGATTTAAAGTGTTTTCTTGAGATTTGTACATGCATATTCCTGATATAAAAATACACAATTTCATGCATAGATTTACAACTTCAAAATAGTATATATATAAATAGGAAACTTTAGATGTGAGATATGTAAATACACGCATAAGAATTATGTTTTATGTATATAAATTTATCAAAAAAAAAAAAAAAAGGTCTTCGTTACAATGAGGGAATAATATATATTACACACAGGCTGCAGGCTGTAAATATTTCGTTATTAACGATTAATTTACAGCTACTTAATCTAAACACTACCAAAACAAGTATTATTAATTTGGGGCATATTTAAATACATATCACCGAATTCCTATTACTTTACATATCTAATTTCAAAATTATGTTTTTTTTTACATTTAAAACACTCCAAAATTTCATATCACATCAAAAACGTCACCATATTAACTTTTAAAAGGCCAAATACAATTTTCATTTACTGGTAAGGCCGTATTGGCAAAATTAAAATTTAAGTATTAGCTATGTAAATAAATAAGAATTGAGTGGTATGTATGAAAATGTTCTTAAAAATTAAGGAAGGCTTAAAATCCCTTTTGAATCACTTTTATTTTTTAATTTTATTTTATATTTTTGTTTTAATTTAAAATATGTTCAATAAGTTAAAATAATAGAAAGTTATTTTTAAAATACTCAAAAAGTCTAAAAATTATATTGTGAGTTTCCAAGAAAATATTAATTTATATTTGAAATTTTAAAATAAAAAAATTATAAAAAAAACACTAAGCAAATAACTTCATAAAAATAAATGCAACAGATTAAACATAATATCAAATATTAATATGGTTGAATTAAAAGTATATGCTATAATACACTGAAGTACATTTGTAAAATTATTATTATTGAGTGCGGGAAAATTCACGACGACAGAGTAATAATTTATCGTCTTAGAGTCACACGAAATCCAGCACACACACTGAGAAAAAAAAAATCAAAATTGCTTACGTGAAAAATTCCTGTAGGGGAAAAAATCATTGGGTCTAGCCCAATCAAATTAATCAACTATATAATTGTAAATACATAAGTCCAATCTTCTCATGAATAAGAGAATATGGATATGTAAAGTTGATAATCAAATATGTACAGTAATAGTTTAGCTATAATATCCATCATTGGGTTTATTCTTGGCTACAATAGTAATATTTGGCAACAAATGTCGTACTTGGTTGTTGCAAATGTAGCTATTGCTCATAAAAGTTGTAGTATGTAGCTGCAAGAGTGGTAGTTGGTCATATAAGTCTTAGTTTGAAGCTGCAACGGTATTAATTGGCCACAAAAGCCATAGTTTATTGTTACAAGTATAGTAGTTAGTCATAATGGGTGTAGTTGTATCTGAAATAATGACAGTCGGTCACAGATGTTATAGATGAAAATTATAACAGTGGTGGTTGGTCACAAATATCATATTTGGTTGTTACAAAGACACTGATTAGCTATAAAGAATGTAGAGGGTGGTTCCAATAGCGTCAATTGGTCATAAAAGTCATAATTATAAGCTATAACATTAGCAATTGGTCATGGAAAGTCATAGTTGGCTGTTTTGCATGTACTTCCCATGCGGGCTTGCTTCTGTCCCGAAGTCAAGACTCACGGAAGGTGTTTGTGAGATTGCCGCATGGACCTAGGCATAGCTGCGGGAATCACGGCCATGGATTTGAGCTTGTCCAATGTTCTGAACGACTCCATTGAAGGGCATACAAAGGAAGGCGTTGTTATTTCTCCGAACCCGTAAGCTATTGGGGCTTGTGGTGATATTGGTTTTGCCTGAAAATGTACTTTGGAGAGACCGTCGATGAAATTCAAGCGTTTTCAAACATGAATGAGAGGAGCTGAGATAGAGTGACAAGCTGATACCCTCATTACTTTTTGTGGTGGCTATGTAACATTAGAAGAAATGCTTGAAGTCATCAAACTGGGTGCAGCTTGGAATTCATAAGAAGCTGGTTGGCCTTCTTAACGTGGATGGATAGATACTATAATTTGTTTCTCCTTCATTGGTACGACTATCATGGACGGATTTGTATCTCTAAAGTTTGTCACATTGCAGTTTCTGTTCTAATAGTGAATGAGCTAATCTTAAATATTAGGGGCCTGGACGAAGAGTATAAAACCAACACCACGTCCCATTCTCTCTCTAAAAAAAAGAGAACACAATAAAATCAAAAAAGCATAAAAAATTCTATTACATCAGGACACGTCCAATTAAAATCATTAAAAAAAAAAAATGTATTAAGTAATTCTAATTGAACACCAGACACAAATTTGAATCTGATGTCTTAATGCAACAATTGCTCCAAAAAAAAAAAGAAAAAAAAAGAAAAAAAAAGATATATATTTAAAGAGATAGAGAGAAAAAAGGGGAGAGAAAGAATACTGTGTTTGGTTTTACCTTGAAATCCATGTTTAGATCTTCATTCTCTACATTGCATAAAGGTGTAAAAAGATTGTGCTTCTAAACTTCTATATCTTGTTTTGTGGGGAATTCTCCTGTGTCTCACAATGCTGATCACGAATGCCTTTCATGACATGATGGTTAGACAACGTTTCTCTCGATGTAGCCCCCTTCTCGAAATTCTGCAAAAAATTCACATCATGCACGTATTTCTGTCATTATTTTGTGGCTAACCTTGCAAGTATCTCATGCAAGTATTTCTCAGCGTGATTTCAAACATTTCGGTCATGGTATCTCAAGATTTCAACCATGCATGCTTTATTGGCATTGTGGTTATGCCTAATTTGTCGTTGTAGCCTCTCTCGCAGGAATGACACGGGGAGGCTGTCAAAATGCTTTTGTGAGTTAGGATTAAATTATAAATTAACTTGAGCAAAACAAAAAATAAATAAACAAATAAATAAAACAACTTTGAAAGAAAAATGCTAAGCAAAGTAATAAGTTATAAAGCGAAAAGTCAAAATTGATGCTTAATTTATTTCTAACTTACTTCATAATTGCAAAATTTTCCCCACCGCCACAAGTGCAACACCAGAAGTTGCCTAATACTTATAAAAAAGGAAGGGAGATTTGAATCCAACATGGCATAATATTTCATAGCCACCATATAAAGCAATGAATGTATCAGCTTGCCAAGCCGTCCATGTTTAAAATCGCCTGAATTTCATGACCTGTCTCTCTTAAGTAAGCTCCCTAGAGTTGACTCAAAAAATTAATTGAGCAAAGGGGGGAACCATAATGAAATCATAAAAATTTGGAAGTGTTGAATTACAAGCAAAACAATACTCGCCCCGAGTGTAACACCAGAAGTTGCCTAATACTTCTAAAAGAGGATGGGAGGTTTGAATCCAACTTGAAATGAATCGAGTTATACCGCCTTTTTAATAGGGAAAGTGTTCATACATTGTGGGCCACTAAAAATAAATAGCATGCATAAATATGAAATCATTGCCACCGAATTTACACCACTTTTTGTAATAGCATACAAAGGCGAATTTTAAGACCCTAATGATAAATCTTGCATGTTCAAGAGAGTCATTCAAGAGAGTTGATGACTCGTCAATGAGCTCGAATGAAATATGTAGTGATCTCACTAGTGCACCTATGAAAATAAATGAGACAGTAAATAAAAACCTGCACAAAATTTGCAGAGGACTCGAAGACTCGTCAATAAGTTCAAATATGACTTACGGTGCATACATTAGCTCACGGTTATGGGGATGCCATCCACTTGAGCACTTAAGTGAGAGCTAAGTATAGAAGAAATGTGTAACAACATATATACAATCAAAGTCCAACATGCTCTTAATTACCATCGGATCCACAATCCCTCTGCACCAGCGGGCA